GAGATATGCAAGCAGCCGGGGGGAGGATCGGGCCGGGCGAAAGGGGGGGATAGCAAAGGGGGGGGTTTGAGAATCAGCTCACGCAGCTGATCTTCCCGGCGCCTCCCAGCGCCGGGAGGCGCCCATGTATCGAGGAAGGGGCCCCTCGGTCGGGCCGAAACCAGCTGCATGCAGCAGATTTCGTAAGCCCCCCCTTTCCCAAACCCCCCCTTTCGCCCGACCCGAGAGGAGGAGCCAGGGAGGCGTGGCGAGAGCTCCTGCCGGGATCTGGAGAGCACCGGAAGTTACGGCGGGCCCTCGCCGGGTTCGCCGATGTTTGCCGACGGCACGCCCCCCCTTCGTCCCTCCCTCTGCTTTGACATGATGCTCCCCCAACCCCCACCCCTCTCTCCCCTCCACCATCGGCCCTCCCACTCCTCCACCCGACTTGCCAGCCCGTGCGTCCCTTCCCATCTCCCCTTGCAAGGCATTACGACTGCAGGTCCCCCCACAGAGGGGCGGCACGAGTGTCGCGCTACTCTCGGGGGGGGGGGGGGGGCTCTCGCTGCCCGAGGGCGGCGATGGGGAAGGGGACGAGGGGAGACGGGAGGAGAGGCGAGGGCGGAGGGCAGGGGGAGAGGAGGCGGAGAGGAGGAGGGGTGGGGGGAAGAAAGGCAGGGAGGGCAGGGGAGGGAGGCACGCCGGACGGTTCGCACAGGCTGCCGGGGAAACGGGTCGCGGGGCAGCCGGCAGCCCATCCTGGTCTCGACACCGCCTCGACCCTGGGTCCTGGACCGAGCGCGCGGGCAGAGGGCAGATCAGAGAAAGGGGGGACGACTGGAGGGGGGCAAGCTGAGCGTGCTCACGCCTTCGCATCTCATCTGACATCCCAGCTCCTGGCCCTCACACGGGTCAGGAAGCCCCTCATTGGAGATCTGCGCAGGGACGAGTAAGGGCGATCAAGCCAGATGAAACAACCAAGAAGCCTGAACAAAAAAAATGAATGAGGCGTGATATGAAGCCGAATTAAGCGGGATAAATCAGAATAGGCGGTGCTATGATGGATAATGCTTGTATTCGATCACGGATCTATCAGCGCCGATGCTGGAATCAATTCCCCGATAATCACATCCCAACATACCAGCCCCTGGCCCGGCCCTCACAGGGAAGCCAGGCGGACGGCGTGAAGACGCTGCTCGAATGCTCTTGCGTGCAACGGCCCTGCTGGCCCAAGACGCAGAGGGCTGTCGCAGGAGGGGCCTGACAGCCTTGGCGCGACGATGTGTCGGGGTCTGGCGCTGAGGGCCCAGCGCGAGTCTGACTCCGAGCCCAGGTCCGAGTCTGGCCCTGCGTCCGAACCAGAGCCTGCTCAGAATCTGAGCGTGCGACTGGGTCTGAGCCTGAGGTGGCAACGGTGGTCGGGGCTCTTCTGACCTGGGTCAATCCAGACCCAGGTAGCAAGAAACCAAAAAACTGTAATGCAGGAAAAAAAGCTGCACTGACCCCCGTCTCTTGAGCCCCGAAGTGGGTCAGAACTGGACTCCGGGTCTGGGCCCAGACCGGAGACGCAACACGGGTCAGAGTCAGAATCCGAACGCGTCTCTGACTCCGAGTCTGGGACTCAGTCCCGCTCTGCTCCCTGACCCGAGCCAAGGTCCTAGGTCCTCGTCCGCACGCGAGTGCGAATCTAAGCTCCTGGGTGCAAGCATGAATCCGAGGGTGGTCTGCACGAAAAAACTCTGCACCTGCTGCTGAAGTGTTCCAGGACACATACTGTTAGCCAGCATGGCCCCCAAAAAGTCAGTCATCGCACTGTGGAGGTGACAGCTGAGTTTCGCGAGTTGTGGTGCACGCTATGGTGTTTGAGCTATGAGGTGTGCGCTACGTGGCACATGACATGCTGTGAAAGCTGTGCGGTGTGAGCTGGGTCGTGGAAGCAGCGTGGTGTGAGCTATGTGTGACTACCTACCAGACCACCCCAACCCAACCCGAAGCCCCGAATTTCGGGTTGGGGGGGGGGGTATGGGCTCCATATGTGTGTTTTCGATGTTCCCGGACCCCACTCCCACTAGAAATCGAGGGTGAATCTGAGCCTTCGGGTTGGGTTGGGGTGGTTTGGTGGGCGGTGAATGTGGTACAAGCTCGACGGTGCGAGCCGTGTTGTGCACGCTGTGTGGTGTACCAGGCGCACGGAGCGCCCTCGCGGGGCGTACAGGCAAGCGCTCGGGAAGCACACGTCCAAGCGCAGGGGGCGCCCGCGAAGCGCCCACGGGCGGGCGCCAAGGCGAAGCCTTAGAAAACCCCCGCCAAGCGCGCGTGGCGCCCACGAGGCACCCACGGACGCCCACCAACTGGGCACCAGGCGAACAAGCGGAAAGCCTATCCAGTTCTCTTGGTGGTCTCCAAACCAGGTGGTGAGACACCCGGTGGTGACCCCGATTCCCCCAACAAAACAATTCTGGGTCACCACCGGGTTTGGGGACACGCGGTCGCCACGAGGTTTTGCGTTTCCTGGGCCAGCCAGCGCTCGAAAACCATTACCCAAATCGCCCAAAACTCACCACCGGGTGTTCTCACCACCACGTTTGGGGACAACCAATTCTCTTGACAAGAAAACCTGTTGTTGAATGAAACGTGGTCTTGATTGACCCAAGCCGCAGTGGAAGCACTGCTTCTGGAGAGGCCGGAGCCGCCAGCCCCAGTTCGCTGTGGGCAGACTGGTGATCATCAGCCCTGCGCAGCCCCAGGAGGGGGATGCCGAAGGATGGGGAGGGGAGGAGAGGAGAAAGGCAGGGATCGACCTAAACAGTGTGTTTCTTGTTCGTGCTGTGTTCGTTCTGCCTCGTTATGTTATCGCTCTGCCTTTGCTGCAGAACGACATCGAAACAAAAACGGCCCTCGAAATAGCCAATACACCGTTCCGATCGAGCCCCAGAGAAAGGGGGAGCTGGATGGAGAGGAGGCGGGGGGAGCAGGGGAGAGAGGGGGCGTGAGGGTAATCAGGAGAGGAGATTGGGACACCAGCAGCGCCCATGAAAACGGGGACTCCACTAGCGGGTACTTTGGCCAGTGACCCAGCGAACCCAACCCTTCCCGATGTGGGCAACGCTGCAATGCCAGAAAGAGGCCTTAAAGTGGCAGCCTTCGGCAAAATTTCAAAGTTCCCGTTAGTGAGTACCCGGCACGGTGCCGCTGAACCAGAAGATGCCGATACCGCTCCTCCCCGGACCCTCTCCAGGGCGCGCTCCGACGAGACTTTCGAGGCTGACCCTGCCGTGGCGACGAGGGCTTCCCAGGAGGCCCCAAGAAAGCGGCGACGAGGCCAGGAGGGTGGTCCAGGTGCCGCCGCCGCCTCGGAGGAGAGGGGAAGGCGAGGGCAGGGGGGTCCTCCCGCCCTGCCCCGCCAGCCAGCCGCCGACCAGGGGGCCCACGACCATGACGGCGCCGATCACGGTGTACAGCCGGCCGAACGCCAGGGATCGCGAGGCCCTGGCCCGAGCGGTCCGGTGGCCAGCACGGGTCGACAGATTGCGTGCTCGTGTCGTGCTCGTTTTGAAGCTCGCTTCGTCGTCTTCTCCTCCCCTCTTGCACGGTGGCACGATTCGCTTAACGGCAGCCCCGTTTCGCTTCTCGCCAGCGCAGCGACTCTGCCTAGCCGCCGACGCAGAAAAATATAGTTGTGACGCCATCTGCAACGCAGGCGGTCCCACCGATTACCCGAAGCAACGTTGTGGCGCAAATCCGAAGGTGATCTGGCCGACGGTGGGCCCTACCAGTTAAATGAAAAGAACGCGACGAGAACACAAACACAACCCATGAGACTGCCAAAACAAAGTTTTGGTCGACCCCTGGTTCCCAGGGGGTGAAAAGTGAGCGCCCACAAGAGGGTGTGAAGGACCACCCGGCGTCTTCGAAACAAATGTCCGCACGAGCAGTGCTTTGCTCACGGGCCCGCTCAAACACACGATCCGCTGCCGTGACCCCTGGCAGGCCCTGGCACGTCGAGGCGTTCTGGAACGTCAGGTGCTGACCAGCAGGGCTCCTGTAGGTCTTCTGGGCCCCCACCCAGCCCTCTCCCAGCACTCCGTTGCGTACACCCTGCGAAATGCTTAAGAAATCATGGGTTCAGAAATTCATAGTCTCAGAACTTGAATAAAAAAACCCAACGTTTCTATCAAAATCTCAAGATTTACATTGAAACGTTAAGAATAATCGAGACTCTGGCCGAAAACTTAAGTTTTCTTAAAGCATCGCCTAAGGTGTACGTCGCCCCTCTCTTCCGAGGCTTCTTGGCGGCGCGCACAAGGGGGTGGGGGGAGGGGGGAGGGCTTCTTAGAAGCAGGCTGCTTCTTAGAAGGCGCCGGCCGTACATCTGTAGATAAGGCCCGCGCCTTCTAAGAAGCAGGGGTGCTTCTAAGAAGCCTTCCCCCCTCCCCCTACCCCCCTCTGCGCGTGGCCGAACTCCGTTGCGTACGTCGCCCCTCTCTTCCGAGGCTTCTTGGGGCGCCCGGACGCCTCCCTGGCCATCCGCCAAGCGTCGAGGACGCTCCGGGCGGCATCCAGGACGGCACAGTCAGACATCCGAGGCCGCCAACACGGGCCAAGACGCCTTCACGACAGCCCAAGACGGCCCCAAGACGCCCCAAGATTGCCTCAAGACGGCCCAAGAGGCCCCTAATACAGCCCAAGATGGTTCCAAGAGAACCTCCTGGAGGGCCCACGTCATCATAGGTGTGCGGAAGAACACTGTGTGTGTTCTCGCCTCTTACGGGTTTCCGTCGGCCCAAACTGCCAAAGGAGCTTCCAAGATGGCCCCGAGACGGAGACGCAAAAGAATGCCCCAAGAGGGCCCCAGAGGCTCCAAATACGCCCAGAGAGGTTCCAAGAGAAACTCCACTGGTCCCGAAGAAAAAATAACGTATGGTTCCTTTTAGCCGCAGTCTCGTGATCTGGGCTTCCGTTTGCCCAGAAGCTTCCAAGATGGTCTCGCTAAGGTCCAGAAGGCGCTCACAAGAGGGCTCCAAGACGGCCCAAGAGTCCCTCAAGATGGGCCAAGAGGGCTCTCCAAGCCGACTCTTCTGGCCCAAAGGCAGCCCAGAGAGATCCCTCATGACGGACACCGAAGGCGCCAGACTGCCCAAGAGCACCCCAAGACAACCGAAATAGCCCCCAGAGGCCCCGAATACGCAATGCTCCCAAGAGGCCCCGAGAGAGGAGGAGGGAAGACGAGGAAGCGAAGACACCGACGACGCACGCAGGGAGCGACACCCAGCTACGATGGGCGAGCCTCGGGACACGAGCGCGGCAGGCTGGTAAGGCGAGGGCGTGCTGGCCAGATCAGGGCGAGGGCACGACCCTGACTCGCAGATGCGGATGGCCGAACCTCGGGCGCGAAAACAGCTCCCGGAGGACGACTCCGGCGGGGCCTGAGGCAAGAGCGCTGGTCTGAACGAGCAGCGGCTCCAGGCGCACTGCAAAATGATCCACGTATTACCTGGACTGACTACCTACCAGACCACCCCAACCCAACCCGAAGACCCGAATTTGACCCGAATTTCGGGTTGGGGGGGTACGGGTTCCACGTGTTTGTTCAACGTTCCCCGACCCCCCCCACTGGAAATGGAGGGCAAAGTGAGGCCTTCGGGTTGGGTTGGGGTGGTCTGGTTAGGGGGAAAACAAACCTACCTCGCTTTTGACCACCCTCGCTTCCTAGAGATACCAAGCGATGCCAAACTACGGCCTGTACTGGTCAGGTCGCTTGACGAGGAGGCGCGTGGTATGACTTGGTTTGTCCTGGAAGCGAGAGCGGGGTAGGCAATTCACGCTCTGCCTGGTAGGTGGTGATGGACGAGGCTGCCGAAGCACATGCCGTGCTTCCAGCAGCGTCAGGACCCCGAGGCCAGCCGAGGAGCCCCGAGCCGACTCGTGGGTGGGTCGCCCCACCCCCCCAGCGCGCCGCCGAGGCTCCCCCGCTGGCGCCCTTCTCTCGCGCCCCCCCGGGGCTCGGGCCGGCGCAGCACTGCCGCTGGCTCCTCGGGCAGCCGGCACCTGATCTGGTGGGCTCGTTTGGCCACCGCCACCACCAGAAGCGGGAGGGGGAGGGGGTCCTCCTCCTCCCTCCTCCCTCCTCCTCCTCCTCCTCCTCCCCCTCCTCCTCCTCCTCCTCCTCCTCTCCTCCTCCTCCTCCTTCCTCCTCCTCCTCTCCTCCTCCCTCCTCCTCCTCCTCGCCTCCTCCTCCCTCCTCCTCCTCCTCTCCTCCTCCTCCTCCTCCTCCTCCCTCCTCCTCCTCCTCCTCCTCCTCCTCCTCCTCCTCTCCTCCTCCTCCTCCTCCTCCTCCTCCTCCTCCTCCTCCTCCTCCTCCTCCTCCTCCTCCTCCTCCTCCTCCCTCCTCCTCTTCCTCCGACTTCTTCACCTTCTTCCCCCTTCCAACTTCTGGTGGTGGTGGTGGTGGAAAACAAGCCCATCATGATCTGGGACGCACTGACCCGGGCCCATGCAAACCCCGGTCAGCCAGGCTTCGCAGGATCCTGCAGGAGCCTGCAGGCTCCTGCGCGCAAGCTGGGTCCTTGCAGCCCTGGCTGCGCAGGATCCTGGAAGATCCAACGCCCTGGCGGACCCCCGTTTGCATGGCCCCCGTCTCAAGGGCTCCCGACCTGAGCACGAACCGTCCCCGAAGTCCTACAGGCCTACCAGGCTTTTCGAACAGAACAACGTTCTCAAAACAAAAACACCGGCCTGGTAACGTGAAGCCGATGTGCTCAAGCAAGACTGGCTCAGCCAGCCAGGGATGCTCTTAGAGAAACTCGTGCCAACCACGAGCGATACTAAAACATTCTTCGGTGGGCCTACAGGCTAACAGGGGATATGTAGACCCCTGTCCCAGGCTTTCGGAAGCTTTCGAATGGACCAGAAAGTTGGGGCCCAACCCTGCGATGTACGAGGGGGGTGCGCCCGTCCTCGATGGGGGTGCGTCCGAATAGCCCCCTGGGGGTGTACCCCAGGGTGTCCCTCCTTTCCTTGGCCGCTTCACTTCTCGTCGAAACGCCGGGGGGAAGGGATAGAAGCATCGCCTGCGAGGGAGAGGCGGGAGAAGATGGCCGGAGCCGCACGGCGCAGCGAAGAGCACACGAAGACCAGGCACCCACGGGAGACGCGGGCACGCCTCTTCCATGAGAGCACTGCCCGCACAGTCGGGGGCTGGGGTGGAAACGTCGCCTGCGACAGGCAGGTCAGGACGCTGCGCCGACGTGTGATGCACGCGCGGCCCCGCCGCGCCAGCCCCCCTCCCGCCGGGCGCCCCCCGCCCCTCCCGGGCTCGGTGGCGTCCGCGATGCACGTGGCCTCCAGGGCGCCGTTGGAGTTCGACAGCAGCCCGAAGGCGACGAACACCGCGCCGAAGGCCCACAGCGACCTGGACGGGAGGCCCCCGGATCCAGCTCCCCTCCTTCCACTCCACTTTTCCCCTCCCTCCCCTCCCTCCATCTGCCCTCCTTCCACTTCATCTCCCCTCCTTCCTCCCCTCCTCCACTCCTGCCTCCCGGCCATCGCTCGGACGTCCAGTTCGTGCGTGTTATTTGTTGCTCGATTATCTATGATGCTCCTCGATGGCCCTCGCCGAGAAACAATGCACACGTTCGAGCAATGCCAAGCCCCGGAGCCATGTCCCCTCCTTCCACTCCTGCCCCCAAGCACCTCCCCTCCTCCCACCCCTCATCCACTCTCAGGAGATGCATCTCCTGGGACGTCTTCGCGAAAACGACTTAGGGCTATTAGGCCCGATTAACCGCAGTGGGTCTCCAATACTCCCCCCCAATGATGGGCGAAGCCCACCTGCCCTTTAGGGCATGAGTGGTTTAGGGCGTTTCCGCTTCCAACCCCCTTTTTCACCTTCAGGAAGTGACACAGCATGGTACAATTGTAAAGCGCCCGATGGCGACACGACGAATGAGATGGAAGGACGAGCTCCGAAATCACAACGTCGCGAGGGAGAGCTCCGCACGAACCTGAAGCGCAGCAGTAGCGAAACGCACATTCCATCGGAAGACGAGGTGCCGCCCGAGTTGCAAGGGAAGGAGATGAGAAGAGAGGGTAGGGGAGGCGGAGAGGACGAGCTCTAACCTCAGGACACGCCAAGACAGGCCTACGGAGATGGCGATGAGAGGCAAACAGCTAGGGCATCAGGCATCCCGTTGATAGCTAGTGCCAATACAACAAAAGCAAGCGCCGCCCGACCGAATCGAACCAAAGAGGGAAGAAGGTAGGGGAGGAGACTGCACAAATATAATCAAACCTGAAGAAACCTGACGCGGACTGGACGCCGTCCACCGACAAACACCCTGCGAAGTCTGGCAAGTGCTGGCGATCTCCGCTGAAGAGAAGGTAACTTGGTGGACACGGCCTGGCTTCGGAGACGCGCCCAGGGGGGAAAAGTTGGAGGGGGAATCCCTTTCCGGAAAGCAAAAAGAGGCTTCACAGAAGCCTTTTCCGCCCTCTGAGAGACCCTCTGCGGCTTCGGAGTGGGCTTGGACGGGAGGCCGGAGGCCCTCTCAGCCCTCTGGCAGGGCCCGCCCCCTCTGCCCCCCCTGCCCCTCGCCCGCCGACGATGGACGCAAGGCGCACCTTGATCCCTGCTGCGCAGGCCTACGGTCGACTTGCTCATCACGCTGCGCGGGTGCCCCCCTCGGCTGCACGCAAGAGTGACCCTGGGTAAGAGTGACCTCTGGTGCGCGGGTTTGGGGGGCCGCCGGGGGGGCAAAACATAATAGCGCGAGACGCAACTGCCGCCTCGCGTTCGGCGATCGGGGGGCCCAATTCGGCCCACACTAAAGGTCACTCCGGCGAAAGGTCACTCCTACACCTCGTCGACATCTCTGCACGCGTGTGAGCCTCTCCCGGGCCAAGAAGCGCGGGGGCCTCGCGAGAGCGAGGCACAACATCTGCAGGGTCAGGGCCGTGGCGCACAGCAGCATCACCTCCCACACGCTCTCCCCGCCTCGCCGCTCGTGCAGGCCCGGGCCGCCTCGAACCGCGAAACCGGATCGAACACGGAGCGGATCGCCAGCGAACCGAGTCGGGACCGGATCGAGGCTCCCAGATCTGGCTGCCCCCGGCCGGTGCCCAGGAACCGAACCGAATCGAATCGAACTCGCTGCAAGAACCGGCGAATCGAGTCGCATCGACTCGCATCGGAGGCGGCCCTGTCATATCACCTCCCAGCCGTCCCCTCCTTCACCCCCAAAAGACTACCGCAAGAAACGCGAGCTCTGGGACAGCTGCGGTGCGGTCTTCGTACCGGTCAGGGGAGCGCGAGAGGTGATAAGCAGCGATTCGACGAGACTGAAAGTCTGAACTAGTTCTCCCCACCCGCCACAGCTCAAGCTCAAAACTCTCGAACATCCCAAGTGGCTGGTGGACTCTTCATCCAAACGCTGCCCTGAGAATTTAGCTCGGGATCCACTTGCGTATGCGTGCACGCTCCCACACCGAGGACTGCACCATTTCATCCCGCACCGAATAAAAATTGCGCATGAACATCGTAGTGGAGAGGAGGATAATGATGAGGTCGAGTCGAAGAGGAGGACAACGACCACGACGAGGAACCTCTTTCCAATGAAGGTAATCCCTCCAGCCCTCTGGGCGAAATGGTATGAAATGTTTCTCTTTCCTATTCCCAACGCAAAACCGACCTGTCAAAACTTGGCTGGCCCTACTCTGGGTGGGATAACAATCGAGGGGTGGGCGACAAACCTTCCGACAGAGCTTGTCCATCCCCCCTTCTCCTCCTCCTCCCCCTCCCCCTCCTCCTCCTCCTCCTCCCCCTCCTCCTTCTCCTCCTCCTCCTCCAACCCCCCCAGCGGATCCAAGGGGGGCGATTATTGCCCATCCAGAGTAAGGTGATCTCCATCGGCGGTTCCGCCCAAGACAATTCACAGATGGCCTCCAAGGTGGCCTCCAAGACGGCCAAGAAAACCCTATCCCAAAACGGCACAAAGGCGCAAAGAGGACACCCAAGAGGGCACACAAATGCAACAAATCATGACCAATGAGCCGTGATCAATGATTTCTTCGGATTGGTCAATGAGTTCGGCAGTCCCGACCTCGAGAGCTTCCGACAGCCTCAGACGGCCCACCAGGCAGGCCCCCAAGGTGGCACCCGTCCAAGAAGGTCCAAGATGGCCTCCAAGACGGCCAACATGGTCTCCAAGTCGGCCAAGATGGCCTCCGAGTCGGCCAGCATGACCTCCGAGTCGGCAATGGTGGCCCACGATGCCCCCAAGATGGCTCCAAGTCTGCCCCAGATGGCCCCGAGAGGCCTCCAAGAGGCCCCAAAAGACCCCAAGAGGCCCGCAGGAGGCCCCCAAGAGGCCCCTTCCCCTCGTCCGCCCCATCCTCCTCATCATCCCTCCCCTGCTCCTCCTCCTGCTCCTTCCCCAAGCGCTTCCCAGAGGATGTCCGCCACGGCCGGGGTGCGACATAGAGTCCAATAGCTTGGCCAACCTCTGGGCCAACGTCTGGCCACGTGGGCGCTTCCAGAATGGCAGGGGGTGGCGTTAGGTCGGACGTGTCCCCCTACAGGCCGATTTTCGACGGAAAAAGCAATAGTCAAAAAAAGCACCCCAAGTAATCAAAAAATAGTATTAACAGAAACAATCGTCCCCAGACTGCTTTTAATTGTTTTTGAATACCCCCCTGTAGAGGGACAAGCCCGACTTAAGGGTGGCGGTGACTTGCCGTAGGCGTCTTCAACACCCTGACTGCTGCCGCCGTACCCTCCCCATTGTCCCGCACAAGGACCACAGACGCACCTCGCACCAATCAGTGGACACACCACCGAAGACGGTGGGGGGATCCACAGAACTAACCACCCACACGCTCTACGCTGCACTGCCTCCTGCCCCTGTGGCCGCTCCGTCCCCCCCCTCGCCACCGGCCGGCGCCCAGTCCGGTCCGACCAGAACGTCAGCGTGGGTGTCGCAACGAACTGGGCCGCGCGCGAAGGGGCACAAACAACCTACATTGTAACGCGCACTTCCATCAATGACATCAGCATGGAGGTAACAACACCAACAACCAGCAGCCGCAACGATAGGGCAAAATCAGCGGCAGAAGGCGCAGATGGCAGCTCAGAAGCGGCGGCGGGGATGGGGGGCGAGGGGGCGAGGAGGAAGAAGTCACGCGACGCACCAGAGAGAAAACGAGGCACAACTCCAGAGGGAGGCTGGGATTCATCGGAAGGGATGTTCTACAAATAATGTAAATAGAAATGGCAATCGTCATCTTGTCATCCCCCTTGCTGCACAATGATAATATTCTCTCGCGGCAGCGTGCCGCGAGGTTGCAGAGGGTCGACGCAAGGCGCAGGGACGGCAAACAATCAAGATCACACAGAGAGGGTGATGCCGTGGATGTCGTCGCTGCCGTCGCAATTCTCGCTTCGCTCCTCCCCTTCCCAGATCACATATCCTTCCTCCGCTCTCGTCGGCGGCCTTTCAATCGCCATGGTTATATCGGCCGATCCTGCGCCACTGCCGGCGCCGAACCTGGAACGCCCGCGGCGGGGCCGCAACCACATCTGGACGACACGAGCCTACCGCACCTTTCCTCCTTCACGCTCATCGCGTCCACCGCGACAACATTCTGCGGGGGAAGTCAGCCGAGGCGGGCCTCCTCAGACGGTTCGGAAAACCTCGGGCCTTCCGAGAAATCCTCTGAGCCTTCCCCGAAAACACCGAAAACTAGTATTCAGAAGGCCGGAAGGCTTCTGAGAAGCCACGCCGCCCTCTGAGAAGGCCCTCCCCTTCTGGCTTCCCACCCCTCGCATGCCGCCAGATTGGGGGCGCTGCCGCAAATCCAGAGAACCCGGCAGAGGCAGAGGGAAGAGAGAGACGACGGGAGGGAGGCGACGACGACGGGGCGGCAGGCGAGGATGAAGGGGCCCCAGGACACACAAATAAATACACACGAATAAAAGGATTCCCCATGGCTTCCCATATTTTTGGGGTTTCTGTCTTCCCCCCCACATCCCATATTTTTGCATACTTTCCTGGGAGTCGACGATTAACTGTGTCTGTGTGTTTCTGTTCCTCCTGAGAGGAGACAGGCGCGGGGGCCCCTGCCGGGGGCCCCAGCTGAGGGCCCGCGCCTCTGCCGCTCCCGAAGCCCGCTCTCGCGAGCGGCCCACGCAGCCAGGTCCTCCCCCCTCGCGGTCGGGACTCGGGGGCGCGATGCCCTGGATGCGCGGTCGCACGGATGCGCTCTCCGGGCCTAAAACAGAGCTAGGATCGGGATAAATCGACCCAGAGCGTTCCGGAGCGCTCTCAGAGCGTTCCGGAACGCTCTGGAGCGGCCGCGGCGCCCAATACATCCTCCAAACCCGCCGATTCTCAGAGATTCCGAGTTATCCCGATCCGATTTTGTCCCGATCTTCGCGTCGTTTTACGATGCCCTGGATGCGCGGTCGCACAGATGCGCTCTCCGGGCCCTGCCTCCTCATGCCTCGCAGTGCCCCAGCTCTCCTCTCTCTCGGGCGCGGCCTCCACGGCGCTCCGCACGGCCTGCAGCCGGCCCAGCATCACCGCCGTGGCGGCGGCGTCCAGGCCCTCCGCCTTCGCGAGCTCCTCGCGTCCTCCTCCTCCTCCTCCTGCTCCTCCACCTCCTCCTCCTCCTCCTCCTCCTCCTCCTCCTCCTCCTCCTCCTCCCCCTCCTCCTCCTCCTCCTCCTCCTCCTCCTCCTCCTCGTGGGCCGGCGGCGTCACACCATCGGGGGGGGAGGCGGCCCTGGGTCTGGGGCCCGTGCGGAATCGTGGAGGAGGTGCAAAACAGCTCCTGGCCCTCTGTTACAGGACCGAGTCTATCGTTGCCGTGCTGAAGGCCTCGCGAGATGAATCATCAACCAAAACTTCAGGCGACCTCCATCTCGAAATCTGCGCCTGGAACGCGTGGCGGGTTGCCCCCAGATTGAGGGGCAACGATAGAGGAGGATCGGGTCAGGGGGTGGGACATCGACCCGGAATCGGCGATACATCGCCCATAGTTCGGCGATAGAACCCCCGATATCGAATCTGCATTGTCCTAGGCGGGGTGGGGCTATCGGGCTTGTGTATCGTCGATGAATGGACGATTGGAGGCCGATGCATCCCCCACTGAGCCTATCCCCGCAGAGCATTGCCCCTGATGCCTGAGCAATCTCCCAGATATAATCTTGTGTTAATGAGTAGTCACCGCAAGTGCTATAGTAACGCCAACAGAGAACTGCCACGTGGACCCGAACGTGCTGCTATACGACCCTTCCGCTGCCATCCCATCTACCGCGCCTCATCCGATGGCGACCCAGAAGTTCCGACTCATCCAATCCGCGGTTCGTGTGACCCGTTACTGGGTGAATCAGACCGGATGAGTTAATCACTAGATGAGGTAGCCCGGATGAATCAGTCACCGGATGAGTTAGCCCAGACGAATTAGGCACCCGATGAATTAGGCACCCGATGAGTTAGGCACACCGTGAGTTAGGCGCCCGATGAGGTGGGCATCGCATGAATTAGGCGCCAGACTCATTAGGAACCACATGAGTTAGGCAGATGATAAGTTAGGTACTTGAGTTTGGCACCAGATGAGTTAGGATTCGGCATCAGATGAGTTCGCCACCCGATAGGTAAGGCACTGGACGCGCTAGGCATTGGATGAGCAGGGCTCCAAATGAATGAAGCACTGGATGATGTAGACACTGGCACTGGGTGAATTAGTCACAGGATGAATTAGTCAACGGATGAGTTCTGCATTGGATGACAAAAAACACCAAATGAGTTCGGCATCAGATGATTCTGGCACCAGATGAATTAAATTCTGGATGGAAGTGGCACTGGATGAAATGTGCACCAAATGAGTTTGTCAACAGAGGGGTTCGGCACCGCAAAAATACACCATCGCACTGTGCATTAGGCGTGCTGGGTGAGTTACGCTTACTCGGTGAGCTGTGTGTACCGGGTGAGCTTGGGGCATGGGGTGAGTCAAGGGCTCCAGATGGCTCCGGGTGACTTAGCCATGACAAATGAGTTGGGGCTTTCGGTGAATTACGAGCCCGCAGGTGCGGTTGGCACCGGGGTGAATTCTGGGGATTCAGCGCGCGGAACCAGGGAGGTGAGGCACCGGGTTAATTCTGCAGGACCGAGTGGGTCCACGACAGGGTTGTCGGATCAGTGGCTGTTGCGGCATGGCGGGTCTGACACCAGCTGCGACGCAGGATACATGTTGGGGGAATGACCCCCTCATAAATAATGGAAGTCACATTGATGCGTCCTTCTCACGGCAACCTTGTAGTACAAGGCGGAAGATTGGTACGAGCTGAAATGAACGCTGTGATACCTGCGGGGTGTAGAGGACACTGTAGTTGTCCTCCATCTCCCACTGGTCGACAGTGCCCCTGCCGCCCCGTCGGCCATTTCGCTCCCAGTCGGTGCCAATGTCTGTTCAAGAAGCAGCGATCCCTCAAATCAGTCGTACGAGATACCCTGGTAGACGCATCTCAAAAGCTGTTGACGTATCGCCGTATCGCCCGTACGGAGAAGCGCCCCGAGTCGTGCGGGCCGCACGAATTACTCTCAATCCTGTTTCAACCATGCCAGTGGCTTACCGACTCAGTAGTCGCCGATGCGCCATGCAAGTAGAAGGGATGCTGCCATCCCCGTAGTTAGGAAGAACAAACTGCACAAACAGAAACTTTTGGCGCTCCGCGGGGATTTCTTGGATCTGCGCGTGGAGCGCGCCGAGGGCGGCGCCAGAGGCGCCGCTGCCCAGCGCGGATCCAAAAGACATCCGCGCTGAGCTCCAAAAGCGCATGTCTGTGCCGCTTGTTGTTGCTTCGCCCTCGAGGCGGCGCGGTCCCGGAAGCGCAGGCTGAAGGCGGGCACCATGGCGATCACGAAGGCCGTGCCCTCCAGCAGAGTGACCGCCCAGAGGGGCCTCGCCGCCGCCGAGGGACAGGCAGTGCCCTCTGCCGTGCCGGCGCTGCGCACCCCTGCGCGCA